TTTTTTTTTTTTGTAACACTAAATTGATTCTTACTCAACAAATCGATTTGACGTTACTGCAAGATCACATGGCTAAAGCCTATGTCTGTTGGACAATATGCCTACATAGTATAATCTTGTGCGCAGAGCTCAACAATCAAATGGTCCACTAAAAGGCCACGAAGTACCACGTTTTAAATCCTTTGTACGTTTAATGAATCTGCAGGTGATTGAGGAGTGTCGGCATCCAGAAGTTGGTATTAGGTTGAAAGGATTTAGAAGACATAATAAGTTGCAAGTGTATTTGAGAACATTATTGTAATCCTTTCCTCGTCGGATTTGATTGAGGAGACTGAGAAGTAAACACAGATAATGAACATACAACAAAAGAAGAATCAACTTAAGAGATTATTCTGAATGAGGACAGATAGTTCCATATAGACATTACAAGCATAGACCATTGCTACCTCATGTGAGTAACTTATTTGATTTGAATCTTTGATGCAAATGTGTTAATATTGATATCTGTAGAGCCTCCTTCACTGAGTGACTTGATTGCCAAGTCTCTCCATTTCATTGCGTTCTTCTTCATCTCTTTGCTCTTCTCTCCTTCCATCACTTCCTTAATGCTAAACTCAATCTCCTCTCTCATTGCAATCCCAGTCTCTTTATCCGCCTTTACACGAACCCCAACCTTCCACACATCTTGTATGTACTTTGCATTCATCGGTTGATCGGTCCATTGAGGCATAGCCACCATTGGAACCCCTAAAGTCAATCCTTCCATGGTTGAGTTCCAGCCACAGTGGGTCATGAAACAACCAACTGCTTTGTTAGACAGAACCTCAAGCTGAGGACTCCACTTCAAAACCAAACACTTATCTTTATCCACTGATTCAAGAAACCCTGATGGTAGCTTTGGCTCCTCTGAAGCTCTGACCACCCACAAGTAGCTGAAGCTGCTTACAGCCGAAGCAAGCTCTTCCATCTGCACGCTGCTCAGCTGAGCCATGCTCCCAAATGCTATATACACCACTGAACTTTCTGGCCTTGTGTTAAGCCAGGCAGTGCATAAGGCCGCCTCTTTCGGGTCAAAGAGGTTGAGATCATTGTCGTTGTCTGATTTGATTTGTTGGTCTAAGTACATTGATGGAACAGTCGGTCCTATTGTCAATACAGGACAAACTTTTGACAACAACTCTTCTTCCTATAAACCAAAAACAGGAAAGAAAAAACATAAGTAATTAAGGGAAAATTGTAACTAAGGTCAATAAAGGCAGAGTAAGCTAGGTCAAAAAGAACAGCCTAACTAGGACAAAAAAAAAGTAGTTTGGACATAAAACAGAGTTGTTAAGACAAGAACTAACATGAACGTCGAGCTCCTTGTAAGAATTAACGAGTATGAAATCAGCCTCTTTGAAGTTGGTGAACTGCTGACGCACCATCTCTAAGTAAGCAAGGTGGGACCCAAAAGGGGTGATGAAAGTAGGCAAATCTTGAGTCTCAAGAAAAGGTAAATCCTGTATGGGAAGATCCAAGGTTCCATGGTTCACGTAAAAAAGATAATTAACATAGTTAACACCACATGACTGCGTGAAGAAAGGAGCTGCGTATAAACCAAACTCTCTCGCAAGGTCAAGTGCCCAAGGCATGAAAGAATCGTAGACGATACAAGTGATGGGGTCATCAGTAGTCTGATGCTTGCGGATGACGTCAGCAACGGTTTTGGAGCCAAAGGTTTTGAAGTTTTGGAGGTATTCAGGGACTGATCCGGCTGATGAGAAGCCTCCCTGGTCGTAGCCGTCAGAGATTTTGGCTATGGAGATGGGACTAGATGGGTTGAGGTGGACTGTGTTGAAGATGAAAGTGGTTAGAGTGTGTGTGGTTTTGAAACCTTTGGAGTGAAGTCTTTTGCAGAATTGACGCATGGGTGTGATGTGTCCCTGGCTTGGGAAAGGCACTGCTAACACATGACCTCTCTTCTTCTCCATCTTTCTCTCTCACTTGCTTACAAAAAGATGAATAAAGAGGTGTTGTAAAGAATATGTTGATGAGATTATTGCAAGAGAAGACAATAGCTTGTGATGAGAGAAAGAGGACAAACCTGTGTTTTAATTATTATCTTTCACAAGGGAAGATAAAGTGTCAGAGAGTCTTAGAAACTGAATAATGGTGTTGTTTTGAAGCTTTGTTTTTATATATAAGATTGGAACTAGGTGTTTTGCCCGCATTTGAGTGCTTAATAATTTTCTAATATAAAAAAAATATAATCAATTTAAGTAAATTATAATAAATTATTGTTTATACACTCAAAATATTTAATAATAATCTAAACAAATTTTTCTATATGTAAAATTTTTCATCATTATAAAAATAATTGTCATTACACAAATTAAATGTGAAAATACTCATAAATTTAAAATATTAAGTAATAAATTAATATCAATTTTAGACATAACAAAAAAAGTATAATAAAATTATCTTTAGTAATGTAAACTATCTATACATAAATTCTTTGCGAATTAATTTTTTCATAATTAAATATATATTAACAAATATAATTATTTTTCAAGGTTAACAAAGACTTATAACACAATATAAAAAATTAGATAATGATAATTATCAAAATTCATGAAATTCGTTTTTAATTTAGAATTAATTATATATTAATAAATATTATTATTTTTAATATAATTATTTTTCAATGTTGATAAAGACATAATATAAAAAAATATAAGGATGATTATCAAATAAATGAAATTCGTTTTTAATTTATAATTAATAATATATTACTAAAAATATAATTATATTTCAAGGTTAATAAAGATTTTATGACCCAATATAAAATAGTTTTAGATAAAGATAAATCTAAAATCATTAAAACTCATTTTTAACTTATGTTTAAGTATATATTGAAAATTTTAATTATTATATAGTAATAAATCTTTTTTGGTCAAATAGTAATAACAATTAGTCATTATATAATAATAAATCTAATTAGTCATTAAATTTATGTTTGCTTTGTCATTAAGGGTAGTAAAAATCATAAGAACATGACAATTAGATTTACTATCCTTAATGGCGAAGCAAACATAAACTTAATGACTAATTAGATTTATTACTATATAATGAATAATTAGATTTATTATAATCATTAGTCTAGATAATGATAATCATCACATCATAAGAAACATGACATATAAGATTTGTTTATAATTATTATATAGTAATAGATCTAATTAGTCATTATATAGTAATAAATCCAATTAGTCATTAAGTTTATGTTTTGCTTTGTCATTAAGGGTAATAAATCTAATTAATACACGGTTCATAATTATATAATAATAATTTTATTTAGTCATTAATTAAGGGTAATAATTAATTATTAGTCAAAATCATAAAAACATGATAAATAAGTATAACTACATAAAATTATGGAGAATATGATGAATCAGCAAAATCATTTTTTAAATATAATTAATTTATTGTTACTTATATATTAATTCAGTTTTAATTTATGGTTTATTAATATCAACTATTTTTAGATAATAATAGTCATCAAATCAGTGAAATTTGTTTCTAATTTATGGTTGATTATATATTAATTAAATATATTTTTCTGATAACAACACAATATATATAGGAATTATATTTTTATTTATTTTTAAATATACATCTAGATTATGGATAATTCTTATCATTATTATTAATTTAAATCATTTATCTAATCAAAAAATATAAATTCGTTTTTTTATTTTGGGCTGATTTATATATTTATTCATTAAGGGTATAAACGATATTAACCAGTCCAACTTTTAACGTGTGAGCTCCGTTGCGAAAAATCACTTCGCAAATAATAGTATAGACTACAAAGATGGAGGTTTAAAAGAGTCATACGGAAACGTAAGTAAATAGGAAGTATTGTAATCAAGTTAGAAGATTCTCTAATCTCTACGGTCCTATAGTTAAATCAATACTAGTCATTTTTAAATTTTAAGTAATATTGTTTACAATGTCGTGGTCCAGAGTCCAAGTGATGTATATGTTAAACCTAACAAAGACAGAAAAAAAAAGAAAAGACTTTTCCATAGTCTTGTTTTTTATGTAATTTGTTCAAACCTAATAAAGTAAGAATACCAATTGGTCAGAAAGTGACTCAGAAGTAGGTATAACTTTTTGCATGCAAGTAAAAAAAACACGGTTTGATATGTAACCAATGAAAGTAAGCTCACCAAATAATTATCTGAAAAAGGATATTTCTCTAATACAGACATCTTTGGTTTTGTTTTTTTCTGCTGAATAGGAAGAAACATACATAGTTAATGGAATCTATGCAAACTTTGAAGAAGGAAATGAAGCAGATAGATTTCAGTTCATGGAGCTGCGACGAGATCAGTGGGACCAACCAACTGTCAACACTGGACAAGCATTCTACAACAACTCATGTGATAAAATAACAGTTTCTAGAAATTATTTGAAAAATAATTTAACATTTGTCATCTCAATCATTTTCACTAAAAAATAGTATGACATAGCATACTAGAATAATACATAGCTAATGAATAAATATGACATGATTTTTAAGTCTATTTCTATAATCATATAATTTTATCATTAAACAAGATTTCCAAAATATTATATAATTTTAAAAATAATTATAAACATTTAATCCTAACATCATTTGTTTTCTTTTAGTATCTACAAGTTTTGGAAATTCTGTTTAGTTGTAGTTTTTGATAATTAGAAGAAAAAAATTATATCAATTTTAAAAAAGGTTTATACAAATTGATTTAATATATTGTAACTAAAATAAATAATTGAAAATCTATCTAAACTTAATATATATATATATATATCTTAAAAAATAATTTAAAATAAATCAAAATATTTATGTTAACTTAAATTTATTTTTAATAAATTAGAATTTATATTGAAATATTAGTATGAAAATAATAAAGAATATTAACAAATTTTTATTTTAAATATAATTTTAATTTAAAAAATTTATTGCTGCACATGGTGCATGCATGGAAATATCTAGTTTATATGATACTATAAATGTAGCAAAAACAAGAGTAATCACGACAAAAAAAAACGAGTAAGTAAGAAACAAAACATAGTGATTAAGACATGAAGGCATGGTTTGATACTTAACATCTGTGCTACTTCATCTAATAACTTATTTTCTCTCAGCCTTTGATACAAATGTATCAATGTTAATATCTGTAGATCCTCCTTCACTTAGTGACTTGACAGCCAAGTCTCTCCATTTTCTTGCATTCTCCTTCATCTCTTTACTCTTCTCTCCTTCCATCACTTCCTTAATGCTCAACTCAATCTCTTCTCTTTTAACAATCCCACTCTCCTCATCTATCTTCACACGAACTCCAGCTTTCCACACATCTTGTATGTACTTTGCATTCATAGGTTGATCCGTCCATTGAGGCATAGCAACCATGGGAACTCCAAATGTCAATGCCTCCATAGTTGAGTTCCAGCCACAGTGAGTCAAGAAACAACCTATGGCTTTGTTTGATAAAACTTCTAGCTGAGGACTCCATTTCAAGACCAAGCTCTTGTTTTTGTCGACTGTCACAAGAAACCCTAACGGCAGCTTTGCTTCCTCTGAATCTCTGACAACCCACAAGAAGCTGAAGTTGCTTACTGCTGAAGCAAGCTCCTCCATCTGAGCATTGTTGAGCTTCGCCATGCTTCCAAATGCTACATACACCACTGACCCTTGTGGCCTTGTGTCGAGCCAGCTAGTGCAGAAGGCAGAGTCCTTCGAGTCAAATAGATTCAGATCATAGTCTGTGTCTGATTGGATCCGTTGGTCTAAGTACATTGATGGAACACTCGGTCCAATTGTCAACACATGACAAACTTTTGACAACAACTCCTTCTCCTGTAACAAAAACAGAGTAGTTAAGACATTAAACATAGTGGTTAGGACATTAACAATGAGAAAGTTTTAAGAAGATATGACTAACATGAAGGTCCAACTCTTGGAAGGTATTAACGAGTACAAAATCAGCTTTTTCGAAGTTTGTAAACTGTTGTAGCACCATCTCAAAGTAAGCAGGGTAAGATCCAGAAACAGAGAAAAAAGAAGGCAAATCTTGAAGCTCAAGAAAAGGTAAATCTTGAATAGGAAGCTTCAAGCTTCCATGGTTTACGTAAGAAAGATAGTAAACATAGTTAACAGCACAAGACTGCGTAAAGAAAACACTCGCAGCTAAACCAAACTCTCGAGCAACGTCTAGTGCCCAAGGCATGAAAGCATCGTAGACGATACAAGTGATGGGGTTATCACTTGTCTTGTGTTTGCGGATGATGTCACCAATGGTTTTGGAGCCGAATGTTTTGAAGTCTTGGAGGTATTTGTCGATGGAGTCAGATGAGTCGAAGCCATGGAGGTCGTAGCCATCTGAGATGGTGGCTATGGAGATGGGACTAGATGGGTCAGGTTTGATGGAGTTGAAAATGAAAGTGGTGAGAGTGAGAGTGGTTTTGAGACCTTTGGAGGTAAGTCGTTTGCAGAATTGGCGGATTGGTGTGATGTGTCCTTGTGTTGGATATGGCACTGCTAGTACATGTCCTCTCTTCATCTCCATCTCCATCTATCAGTTAAGATGTGTTTTGCGTTAACCAAAAATGAATATGCCTTGAGAGGTAATGCGAATATATATATATATATAGAGAGGCAGGTATTGTCACGTTCTTGCTTAGAGATCAGAACAAGAGAGAGTTTTGTATTTCTCTTCTCTCTCTTTCTTTTTACAAGAGAAAATGAAATAAGAAGAAAAACTCAACTTGCAAACCTATGTTTTTTTTAATTTTTATGAACATTTTTTAACCAAAAATAACGTATATCAAAGTATGTAACAGCTATTTATCGTTTTATTTGTTACTCTATGGACAGGCATGATCTTACTTGCTAAAGGCGAAAATGTAAAGAAACAAACCTAAAATGAGTAAGAAGCGAAAATTCTACAGTGTTTTATGATTTACAATAAGAACTCGACAAAAAAAAGAAAAAGGAGTAATCTATACTCTATAGTCTTCTTCACTAATACGATAATATCTGACATTTTTGTAATTTTTTTTACAAATATCTGACATTTTTGTACTTGTCTATAACGTGAGACTTTATTGTATCATTTCACTGGATCCAATCTCGTATGACTCAATTCAAGCTTTCTATAATCGTCTGTGCAAATTTATT